GAATCAATATCATGAAAATTCCATCTTACCTGAGACTGTCTAAAGACTCAATTAAGTCCCCACCAAAATGCCACCATTTTTTCCAGACACTGAAATAATTTAAAGACTCATTTAGAAACATAAAATTCTTAGATAGCCAAGGCAATCCTGAGTAAAGAACAATGCTGGAAATAACCCAATTTAAAAATGGGGCACAGAACTGAACTGAGAATTCTCAAAAGATGAAATACAAATGGCTGAGAAACACTTAAAGAAGTGTTCCATATCTTTAGTCATCAGGGAAATGCAAATCAAAACTACTTTGAGATTTCATCTTATACCAGTCAGAATGGCCAAGGTCAATAAAATAATGACAGCTCAGGCTGGTGGGGATGTGGGAAAAGGGAAAAACTTATCCATTGCTGGAGGGAGTGTGAACTTGGGCGGACACTATAGAAATCAGTGTCATAGTTCCTCAGGAAACTGGGACTATATCTACCTCAAGATGCAGCTACACCACTTGTAGGCGTACACCCAAAAGACCCTACATCTCGCTACGGAGACACTTGTTCATCCATGTTCATTGCTGCCCTATTCATAATAGCCAGAAATTAGAAACAGCCTAGATGGCCATCACAGATGAATGGATAATGGAAATGTGGTAAATTTACACAGTGGAATATTATTTAGCTGTTACACAGTGGAATATTATTTAGCTGTTACACAGTGGAATGTTATTTAGCTGTTACACAGTGGAATGTTATTTAGCTGTCAGAATGGTTGTCACCAGGACAACAAATGACAATAAATACTGGAGAGGATGCAGGGAAGAAGACCATTATTTCCTGTTGGTAGAATACACCCAGGTGCAGCCATCATGGATTTCAGTGGGGGGGGGCACTTCTATAATAAGTTAAAAATAGAACTTCCATATGACCCAAGTCATACCATTCACGGGCATCTATTCAAAAGACTCTACATCCTTCTGAAGAGACACTTGCTTATCCATTTTTATGACTGCTCTATTCACAATAGCAAGGAAATGGAATTAGCCTAGATGTCCTTCAACAGATAAATGGATAATAAAAATGGAGCACATACACACAGTGGAATCTTATTTAGAGATAAAGAAAAATGAGATTATGTAATTTCTGGGAAAATGGGAAGAATTAGAAAACATTATATTAAGGAGGTAGCCCAGGCTCAGAAAGACAAACACCCTATGTTCTCTTGTATATGTCTCTTAGCTTCTAATATTTTATGTGTCTTCATGGGCTCTAGGGAAGGCAATAATTCTTCCAACCTTTCTATCATGTATTTAGTACTCCCAGAGTCCTGACTGGTTGGATTAGCATCTGACCATTTGTGAGAAATTTTACATTCCTAATTATGCTCTAGGAATTGCTTTTCAGATTCACTTCCTGATGGAGTTCCCCTTCTGGCTGCTGATTTACTACAGATTGTGCCATCCTGGTTTTATACAATTTTTTCTCCATTTTTTAAAATTAGAAACAATATTGTTTTATGAATAAAGAGACTCTAATCTATACAGGGTACCTGGACCCAGGACTCTTGGGCGGGGCTAGGGTGTCTCCCTACAGTTTTACATGACAATCCCAGTTCCCTCTCCCTCCCCTTGCCCCCTCCTCCCCTGCCCCCCACTAACACCCTACCTATCCCAAACTATTTCTGCTCCCCAGGGAAGGTGAGGCCTTTCATGGGTGCGGTCTTCAGAGTCTGTCATATCCTTTGGGATAGGGCCTAAGCCCACCCCTAGGTGTCTGCTCAGGGAGTATCCCTCTATGTGAAATGGGCTCCCAAAGTCCATTCCTATGCTATGGATAGGTACTGATCTACTACAAGAGGCCCCATAGATTTCCCAGGCCTCCTCACTGACACCCACATTCAGGGGGTCTGGATCAGTCCCATCCTGGTTTCCCAGCTATCAGTCTGGGAACCAAGAGCTCTCCCTTGTTCAGGTCAGCTGGTCTTAACCCCTTTGCTCATCACCCCTCCTTCTCTGCCACTGGATTCCAGTTCAGTTCAGTGTTTAGCTGTATCTGCTTCTACTTCCATCAGCTGCTGGATGAAGGCTCTAGGATGGCATATAAGTTAGTCATCAATCTCATTATCAGGGGAGGGCATTTTAGGTAGCCTCTCCACTGTTGCTTAGATAGTTAGTGTCATCCTTGTAGAACTCCAGACTAGGGAGTGCCTGATTTCTCTTTAAACTTATACTGGCTCCCTCTCCAATGGTATCTATTATTTTGCTCTCCTCTATTCTTCCACCTAAACAACCTTCCTGCTACCTTATGTCCTCCTCACCCCCTTCTTCTCCCCTTCTCATTCTCCAACTCCCTCTCCCCTCCCCCATGCTCCCAATTTGTTCAGGAGATCTTGTCCCTTTCCCCTTCTCTGGGGGACCATGTATGTCTCTCTTAGAGTCCTCTTGTTTTCCTAGCTTCTCTGGCAGTGTGGATTTTAGGCTGGTAATCCTTTGCTCTATGTCTAAAATCCATATATGAGTGAGTGCATGCCATGTTTGTCTTTTTGTGACTGGGTTACCTCACTCAGAATGGTTTCTTCTAATTCCATCCATTTGCCTGAGAATTTCAGGATTCCATTGTTTTTTTTTTTTTCCTGCTGAGTAGTACACCATTGTGTAAATGTTCCACATTTTCTGTAACCATTCTTCAGTTGAGGGGCATCTAGGTTGCTTCCAGGTTCTGGCTAATGCAAATCAATGCCATGTTTGTCTTTTTGTGACTGGGTTACCTCACTCAGAATGGTTTCTTCTAATTCCATCCATTTGCCTGAGAATTTCAGGATTCCATTGTTTTTTTTTTTTCCTGCTGAGTAGTACACCATTGTGTAAATGTACCACATTTTCTGTAACCATTCTTCAGTTGAGGGGCATCTAGGTTGCTTCCAGGTTCTGGCTAATGCAAATCATGCTGATATGAACATAGTTGAACAGATGTCCTTGTATGAATGTGCTTCTTTTGGGTATATGCCTAAGATACTCACTGGAATAAAGAAAGCATCTTCAACAAATGGTGCTGGCATAACTGGATGCTGGCATGTAGAAGACTGCAGATAGATCCGTATCTATTGCCATGCCCAAACTTAAGTCCAAGTGGTTCACAGACCACCACGCTATAAATCCAGCTACACTAAACCTCTTAGAAGAGAAAGTGGGAAGTACCCTTGAATGAATTGGTACAGGAGACAGCTTCTTGAACATTACACCTATAGCACAGACACTGAGATAAACAATTAATAGATGGGACCTCCTGAAACTGAGAAGCTTCTGTAAGGCAAAGGACACAGTCAGCAAGACAAAATGGCAGCCCACAGAATGGGAAAAGATATTCACCAACCCCACACCCGACAGTGGGCTGATCTACAAAATTTACAAAGAACTCAAGAAGCTAGTTTCCAAAACACCAAATAATCCAATTAAAAAGTGGGGTACAGAACTACATAGAGAATTCTCAATACAGGATTCTAAAATGTCTGAAAGACACATAAGAAAGTGCTCAACATCCTTAGCCATCAGGGAAATGCAAATCAAAAGAACTCTGAGATACCATCTTACTCCTGTCAGAATGGCTAAAATCAAAAACACCAATGATAAATTATGCTGGAGAGGATGTGGAGAAAAGGGAACACTCCTCCACTGCTGGTGGGAGTGCCAACTTGCACAGCCACTGTGGAAATCAGTATGGCAATTCCTCAGGAAAATGGGACTCAGTCTACCACAAGATCCAGCAATCCCACTCTTAGGCATATACACAAAAGATGAACGTTCATACAATTTTTTTCACATTAAAAAAATACTGAAACGAAAAGAAATTGATTTGAAGTATCCATCATGTTGAGGAAACTTAGGGATGTAATCAACTCATCAAAACCCCCCAGGGCATAAAGGTGCAATAAGTGGCACTCACATGTTAGTGGCAATGAAGAGCTGTCTAATTGGACCTAAGGCCCATCCAACAGGAGACAAATCACACCTGATACTAGAAACCTAGCCAGTTTCTCAGGGCTAGTGAGGTCATGGCCCTTAGAGAAGAACCGACTATCACCACTTACCCAAACGAGCATAATTTCTTGCTACATTCTAAATCTTTTACTTATACTCAGATAGATAAGGGTAGCTACCACCCCTTATCAAAGAAACTTCTCTTTACAGCAGACCGTGATGATCCCAGAAAACCTCAGCTAGATACAATTCAGTGGTCAACAGATCATGGGAACCCAGCCTCAGTGGATTTATCTGCATCACGGCTTCTGCATCTATGGTGCAGGGAACATCAAGGAAGAGGGACAGAAAGACCTTAAGAGCCAGAACACTAGAAATTCTGCTAGGAAAGAGCCCGTCCTAGAAACAGCTGTACAAACAAGGCTGCAACAGTGGCAACATCATTAAACGTGGTAATGTAGAAGGGAAAAATTTCATGGGGTCCCACTCCTAGACAAAGAACTACAGACAACTAGTTAACTGCTGAGAGGCGTAGAACTGGAAACAAGGGAGTTCATCCAACGTGGTTTCTGCCTCTCTACTTGGAGTGCAGCTACCTGATGCCCCCACCAGTCATCGGCCCCCTGGGAACAGCAGTGACTTTTACCAAGCCTTGTTCTGTTTTCTTTTTCTGAGTTGTTGCTGTATGGGAGAGACCTTACCACTGCAGAAATCATTAGAGAAAGCCTGGAAATAAACTGACTCCGTGTGGGTTTTTGGAAACTATTGGCCCTTTCTGCTGCCAATCTTTTGAGTAAGATACCGTTATATGTGTGGGAAAAGCCTCCAGTAGAACCATCTCCTATGCACCTTTCACCCATCCTTGTTCACAACATCTGTCTAAGGAGGCCCTCTGCACAGAGTTGCCTGGTATTTGTATGCAGTGGGTGCTAATGTGTGGGATGTGGGTTGCCCAAAGATGAGCAGGGAGAGCCAGGGCTCTGTCCACCAGGACCCTGGTGTCAAGTGCGAGCAGTCAGCAAGGCCAGTAGCTTACCTCCTTTTCTTCTTCCACAGAAAGAGAATTTGGGCAGGTCTTCCTCACAGATGGGGTAGGAGAAGTTCAGAATAGAAGAGCCTCTTGAGATAAGAGCTATATCCAGAAACAGCTCTCTGATGTCCTCCCCTAGAGAAAAGTATAACTTCAGCACTGTGCATCTGTCCTGCAAAGTCACTCAAGACCCAACAGCCCTGTCTAAATAGCCTTTACAGCCTTCAGCCTGATGCATGTGGGGGTTGGGAGGGCATCTCTTATTGAGAAAACAGCATTTCTAGATTAAGTTTTACCTGTTCTGGGTAAGGCAGTTTGAGGTGATATATTGTTTATGATCTAATAAAGTTTACCTGAAGATCAGAGTGTGAAGCAGCCAGACTAGTCAGCCAGAGGCCAGTCAGGGGCAGCACATTTCTTTAATCCCAAGACTCAGGAGACAGAGGCAGATGGATCTCTGTGAGTTCCAGGCCACCCAGGGCTACATGAGACTGAATCAGTCTAAAAGAGAAACGGAGCTCACACCTTTAATCGCAGCACTAGGGAGATGGAGACAGGAGTGATATGGCTGGGCACACAGGAATGAATATAAGGGAGGAAGAGCCGGGTATCCCAGAGAGCAGTCTGGTTTTTGGTGGAGAGCATTGCAGTCTGAGTGAATCTGAGGAGCAGTGAAGTCGGGAGCTGTCTGGGGTTTGGTGAATGACCCCTTTGGTCTGAGCATTGGTTGAGGTGAGAACTCTCTAGTGGCTGGCCACTTTGCTTTTCTGGTCTTATTTTTATTAATTCATGATATAGCAGCTCATTGGCTACACTCCCTTCCTGATGCTCAGTGCTCTATCCATCAATAGAATGTCTACAAGTCTGGCATTTAGAGTTCCTTAGTTCCATAGTGTAATTTATCCCCATGATAGTAGCAGGGCATGGCTGGATCTGCATATTCCCACTGCTGTTGCCTGATAGATACTGCACATGGTTTCCTAGAGAATTTCAGCCAGCTCTTCTGGCAGCTTCATTTCTCTCTGGCCTCTTTCCCAATCCTTTCTTTTGTTTTTCACCCCCCTTGCTTGGTTTCCTTGCCCATGGCATTTCTTCGGATGCTGTGAGACTAGATATTGCTCAGAGTTCTAGGAAGACCAAGTCACGTGAGAGTCCTTCGTCTTTGAGACTGATTCTAGATGCTCAGTTACTGAATGTTTCTGCTCTGTTTTGAGAAAATTGGTCTTATAAAAACAGAGAAACTTTAGTATCTCTGGCAGACATACTGGTTTACTCTAATGACATGATCAACCAAGAAACGACCAGGAAGCCAGGAAGCATGTGGTCTCATAGCCTAGATTGGGAAGAAAGATTTGGCCCCCTCTTTTTTCCCCCCCAAACTATAAGAACTTCCCTTATTGTTTGAGAAAAAAATAATGTGAGTAACAGACCATGATCTTATGGGGTACAGCAGATTCATTTGTGACAATCTTGTCCATGTAACCACAAGACAATCACTTCTTTTTGTTGTTGTTGTTATTGTTTATGGTGACCAGGGGCTGACAGTGTTGAATGAGCATCAGGAGTCTCTTTAATACCAAAGCACAGCATTCCATGACCACGAGGTATTAACTGGAGAAGGGAATATGAGAGATGAAGGTGGGAACTCAGTGCAGTCTGCTGTGCTTGTCAATGAGAGTCACTGTGCAGAAGAGTAGGAGGAGGAGGAGGAAGAGGAGGCTCTCTTACACTTTATGTTGAGATAATCACATCTACTTACTCAGAATGATGCCAAATCTAATGTTGAGTTGTTGTGGGATCTGCTTGGAACACTGGTCAATGGAAAGGCCAAAATCCTGTAAGGGATCTGCCAAAGAGGACACCAAGAGATTAGTCATGAGCACAGGGAGAACTCATCTGCAAGTCTGCACTAATGGCTTTAGCAGTCCTCACTAAAGGACCCTGCACTTAAAAAGGCCTGTGGCATTTCAGCAGCTCCTCCCAGCCTGTCTGCAGTCACTGTCACCTTCTCTCTGATGACATGCCTCAGTTCACAGATGACAAGTTTATTGCTTACATTTTTTTCATCTTTGCTCAAGTTCTTTGAGTCCCTGACCTTCATTTTGCTGACAGAAGGAGATGTGTGTAGACACTCAGTTAAGATTGTCCCTTTACAATCCTGGTTTATCTTATGCTATCTCATCCCATTCAACGGAACCCCTCCCCCCATATTCTGCTCTGTGCAAGGCATTATGCTAAACATTCAAGGGCTAAAGATAATGTATTTTACATGTAATTTTTGCTTATTTAAACAGCCCCTCATGAACCAGAATAAAGAGCAAAAAGAGACTACTGTCCCCTACCCCAAGCCTATTTCGCATCCTGAGTCCATTTTGTGGACTCACACACACACACACACACACACACACACACACACACACTCACAGTACAAATCTCCAGCCCTCTGACTCACTTATATACTTTCTCTCATTTCAAAAGTTTCTTGCCTTTTGTGAAGGCTTTCCCATAGTCTTGAAAATAGTCTTTTGCTTCTCTGGATTCATAAATTCTTCTAACTGTGTAAATATGTCTAAATCATCTTTCAATATTCATTCCAGGACTGTTTGCCCCATGGATACCAAAATCCACAGATGCTCAAGTTCTTGATATAAAATACCATATTTTCAGAGAACCTATGCAATCCTCCTGTGTATATATATTCATTTATTTTTTTAAAGTGTATGTGTGAGTGCCTACATGTATGTGTGCCAGATGGGTACCTGTGGCAGACAGAAGGTGTAGTTGAACCCTCTGGAACTGGAGTTGTGAGCTGCCACATGGGTTCTAGAAATCAGAAGTGGGTTTTCCAATGAGTCCTGTCTTCAGCCCCCCTGCACCAAAGAGTTTAAGTCATTTCTAGGAGACTTACAATAGTGGTAAGTGTGATGCAATTGCGTGGTGCAAGGCAAATGCAGTGTGAATTGTTGCTATACTGTTTTGTTCTGGAAACACAGGAAGAAGTCTGCACATGCTCAGTATACTCACATTCAAATACATAAGATCTGTTTTTCCATTGAATCTGAGGATGTGGCAACTGTGGCTATAGAAACCTAACTGTATTACTTGGTAATTTGCTCTGTGCCTTAACCCTACAGCACCTACTGCAAACTTAGGCCCCTTCAAGGCAGAAACTATTTTTGTTGTCATTTATTTTTCATTTCCTTTTCCCTTCTGCTTCTCACTGGGCCTAAGGGAGGAAAGCCACCTTAAGCTTAGAACTTTGTAAGGATCTTCAATCTATGTTTCCAGACTCCCCAATGCTCAGCTCATATGACAGATAGGTACCCTACAAACACACATAATGAATGAGTATAGGTCATCTATTAAGCTGCCCACATCTCAATTCCAAGTCCAGCCTTTGCACTTTGCTTTGCGAGGCTGCCTCTCTGCAGTCACTCCTCTGTTGTAAGTTGTCAGGGTACTGGAGTGACATGGAGACCAGAGCCAGGGTCTGGGCTTGCTTTTCATCAGTTTCCAATGGTGCTTGGCTCCAATACATGTTTCTCTTGCACCTTCCTGGAACCAGCCAGGCTAAGCTCTGCACGTTCCCAGATCTATGCAAAACAGTGCCTCAGAAGTGGTTACCCCTTTCCCTGCCTCAGGCCACAAGGTCCAAGCATCCAAATTTTCATCCTGCCAGCTTCCACCCTTTGCTCTCCAGGCAACTCTTCTTCACTGTGATTTTGCTTCTTGGCTTTTTGACTTTTTCAATTCAGTTAATTAGCAAATTCCCTATATTAAATTATTTATATTAAGATTGATCGATTAGTTATTACTTCCTCTATAGGATCCAGACTGGTAAAATAAGGAACAATCTGAGAAATAGGTATGGATTTCTTCCTTTCAAAGATTGCAGCATATAGACTCAGAAATGTATTAACCTAACTAGATCCCAACATAGAAAGTGCCCGAGTCAAGACATAAACTCAGCGTTAACAAAAGCACAAACAAAAGCAATGTTGCTGTTTAGTAAGTATTGTGCACTGTAATCAATCAGTAAATCCTAGGAAATATATGCTAATTTAATTTGTAGGACTGCCGGGGACATTTTCTGTGCAGGTATATGGCATTGGGTATTTCAGTTTCTACCTTTCTGCTTTCTGCTGTGAGGTTCTAGGTGATGGTGCAGACAGTGAGTTTACCATCCGCATACTGACCTGAGAGGTGATGCATCATTGTCTCTGATGCTTGTGATGGAAATGGCCCCTATGAAACCCCAGCCTGGCAAATCTAACACGGGTGTCCCTATGATCAAACTCCTTTTGGTTTGCTTTCCAGTCTTCTGAGGGAGATGCCCCTCACGCTCACTTGACTTCTTCCTAAACATTTTTATGCTGTCTCAGGACTTTTTTTTAGGTTGGAAAACAGTGCTGGTAGGGAGGAGCCAATTGCTCCTGCTACACACTTAGCACTCAACATGGAAGAAAACAGGTTACCTAAACAACAGACGTTTAGGAAATTGTGCATTAATTTAAATTGCCATCCAAGGCAAAATCAAAAAAAAAAAGGGTTATGTATTGTTCAGTTAGCAGTTACAGAATTCCAGGGAGTGCTTATCAATATTTTAAAGCTATACATAGGGTAAACTAAAAAGAGGAGAAAGAAATAAAGCCTTTTCCTGGTATTAAAAAAATAATTTTAATAAGAAACAAAGGCCCAAAGGGATCAGTAGGTCATTTGTCTCTTCTCTCTAAGGAAATGTATATGGAAACAGAAAGATTAGTTTAAAAGTACTTAGAGATTTTCCGAGCTTCCCTGGCAATTTTCTCAAGTTTATATGCAAGAGTGATATCTTTGGATATAAGTATGCTGTCTACAAGCCTGTAGGAAAAAGTGACATCACTTCCTTTAGTCCTACCCTCATGTCCTTATGTTTCCTTTTGAGCATATAGCATGCTCTGTATTGTGTGTTTTGCACATCCTGTCCCTCCTCTACTAAACATGGGCTCCCAGAACCACGGGTGACTTGGCATATTATACTAGATCCCCAGTAACTGTTAGATGAAAAAATATTGAAGGTTATTTGGAATAATACCATTGAGAAACTTAAAGCAAAATAACTGAACCTCATGATTGTTGTCATTTAGTCCCATGTAATCTTTTGTATCACAGGATGGCAATCAGCATCTCCAGATGCTCTCCACGTGACAATCCATCGTGTGACAGAAACTGCTGACAACACCCTCCCCATGATCCACAGGGTACTAACTTACCCCTAGTGAGGGGGCACTGACTTCAAAAACTGCTTCCTTGTAGAAAGGGACCTTTCCAGGCAAGTTAAGGGACAGGGGTATAAATAAAGCCGAAGGCGTGAGGTGGAGTCCTAGGGGCAGCAAGACGTAAGCAGGGAAAATTGTGGGAGCTTGGGGGAACCAGGGGTGAAAGGGAGGACTAACCCAAAGGAAGAGGGTATAAAAAGGCATGTGGAACCCTACTATCTCACAGCCCAACCTAAAAAAAATAAGTAGCTGGAGAGTAGAACACATGTGAAAAGGAAGAAGAGAGGAAATGCGGAGGATTAGAGCATTACGCAGGGGTGGAGGAGGCAGTGAGAAAGAGGAGGGAGAGTGGGTGGGTCAACCAAAACCAAACCAAACCAAAACAACATGACAACAAACCAACAAACCCCCAAAACAAAACTAAGGTTGTATGAAGAAGCCTCATAGAAACCCCTGGTTAGTAAGATAATTTCTTACTAATAAATACAACCGAACAATGAAAATTCAAGCAGAACACCTGCCTTGGTGGACAATGCTCCTCCTCCAAAAAAGTGTCACTTTCACAAGGTATGGGAAGATCTCCTTAGGAACGGTTGACTAGGGAAACCCCTATAACTACCGTGTAGTTATGATGGACCTTACTGCTACTGACATCACACACTCTGGCTACAAGATATAGAGAAATCAGTCCCAAATTGACCAGGAAGTATCTTTCTTGCTGGCTAGCTTTCATAGTTCTGGAAAGTACTAGATGGGCTGATGGAAAGAAAAGATATTAGTGTTTACCCAGTGCTGGAATCAACACTGAGCTGCCAGGTAAGATATGCTTACTGGTGTAATAGTGACATCACTGTTAGGTAACTGAAGGCTACTCCACTGGGAAGAATTTCATGCTTGGTCCTGTATTTCTTGTCAAAACCCTGTGGCTGGGGAGATCATAGGCCCTGGTGTAGAGCCGGCCTTAGTATTTTACACCCATAGACCTAAGCTGTTCTCAACCCAGAGAGCTTCATTTTTTAATGACACTGCATTGGTATGTTTCCCAAGCGCCAATGGGTGGCCTACACAGCATCTGTTTGGCTCACGAAGGCCAATGGTACCATTTCCATTCCAGACATTCTGGTATATTTGTGGAACAGAGTCTCAGAAACCAGTAGGGCTTAAAGAGTGTGAGGTCTCAATGAATTCCAGCTCCAGAGTCTTTCTCATGCCTTATATTCTGGAATCTCTTGGGCCGGATTGACTAGGGATTGACTAGGCTCAGAAGCTGGCATCCTTGCCTTGGTACTTTCTGGCCAGTGTGTGTTTGGGGGAGATGGCGCTTTCAACTGGAATAGGTGGGAAGAAATAAAAGTGACTCTGGAAATGCAGTTTTTTAGCTGAGGATGCTGGTAAGGGGCAACCCTCTGGGCTTCTGGTTGGCTCTGTCTCAGGCAGTCCAATGGATGTGTCATCAAGTCCTGGATTCTGTATACTCCTCTGTGTTTCCTGCTGGCTAGCTTTAGTCCACAGAACTCACTCACATTTCTCCAGTGTTCTAGTTTCATGCTGTCACTGTGGTAAAGACTCTGGCCAAAAGTAACATAGG